CAAAAAAATTTTTTATTTGAAGAAATAAGACAGGGGTCTCACTATGTTACCCAGGCTGGTCTCCAACTCCTGGTCTCAAGTGATCCTCCTGCCTCAGCCTCCAAAAATCCTGGGATTACAGGCAGAAGCAGCCAGGCTGGTTGAGTATTCTTGAAGCTCTTCTTTCTTTTCTTTTAATTTTTTTTTTTTTTTCTGAGATGAAGTCTCACTCTGTCACCCAGGTTGGAGTGCAATAGCATGTTCTCTACTCACTGCAACCTCTGCCTCCCCGGCTCAAGCCTCAGTCTCAGCCTCTCTGGCCGCAGCCTCCCGAGTAGCTGGGATTACAGGCACATGCCGCCACACCTGGCTAATTTGTGTATTTTTAGTAGAGACAGGGTTTCACTATGTTGGCCAGGCTGGTCTCAAATTCCTGACCTCATGATCCGCCTGCCTTGTCCTCCCAAAGTGCTGGGATTACAGGCGTGAGCCACCACATGGGGCCTAATTTTTTCTTTTTTAAAGTAGATGCCAGGTGTGGTGTCTCAGGCCTGTAGTCCCAGCACTTTGGGAGGCCAAGGTGGGCAGATTGTGAGGTCAGGAGATCGAGACCATCCTGGCCAACATGGTGAAACCTTGTCTCTACTAAAAATACAAAAATTAGCTGAGCCTGGTGGTGTGAGCCTGTAATCCCAGCTACTCGGGAGGCTGAGGTAGGAGAATCGTTTGAACCCGGGAAGTGGAGGTTGCAGTGAGCCAAGATCATGCCTTTGCATTCCAGCCTGGTGACAGAGCCAGACTCCAACTCAAAAAAAAAAAAAAAATAAAGTAGAGCTAGGTTCTTGCTATGTTGCCCAGGTTCATCCTGAACTCCTGGGCTCAAGAGATACATTGCCTCGGTCTTCCAAAGTGCTGGGATTACAGGCATGAGCCACCGTGCCTGGCTGAAGCTCTTTTTTTTTTTTTTTTTTTTTTTTTTTTTGAGACGGAGTTTCGCTCTTGTTACCCAGGCTGGAGTGCAATGGCGCGATCTCGGCTCACCGCAACCTCTGCCTCCTGGGTTCAGGCAATTCTCCTGCCCCAGCCTCCTGAGTAGCTGGGATTACAGGCACGCGCCACCATGCCCAGCTAATTTTTTGTATTTTTAGTAGAGACGGGGTTTCACCATGTTGACCAGGATGGTCTCGATCTCTTGACCTTGTGATCCACCCGCCTCGGGCTCCCAAAGTGCTGGGATTACAGGCTTGAGCCACCGCGCCTGGCGGAAGCTCTTTTTAAAAATTATGGTATAGACAAGAGAATCTACCCATCTGTCCCCCTCCCTGTCAGTGTTTCTTCTTAGCCCTTTGGGGGGTCATGAGATCCTCCAAGACCCCTCCCCTGAAAAATGCACGCCCAGACTAGTCATTATATATGATTTTAGGGTTTCTGTCAGAGGCCTGCCCCTGGGGGCCGCATAGATCCTCCCCACACCCCAAGTGTGAACCCTGCTGTGTGAAGTCCAACGTATTGTCTGCAACCAACTTTGCCCATTTGTCTCACTTGTGGATAAAGTTTCTTTGTGAAGTCTAAGAATCTCAGGGTTGGCTCTGTGATATCCAGAAGACTGAGGGGCCTTTCCGGTCACTGGTGGCAGTAACTGAAATTTTAGGACAGAGTGTTACCTGAATGTATTCATTCTTTCTGTGGCTACGTCCAGCACCTGTAAGTGCTAGATGCTGGGACCCAGTGACAGAGTTTCTATCCTAGTTAAGACAAACTTGAAGCAAATGAACAACCACAATAATTTGGGGAAGCAGGGTAAAGGAAATAAACAGGGTTTTGTCACTGGCTGGAGTATGGGGGGAAGAAACTACAGAGGGGAAATTGAGAAATGCCTCCCTGAGGCGGTGACGTGAGCTGAGACTTGAAGGCAGAGGAGATCTAGGGGAACAGAGTTTCAGGCAGAGGGATCAGCACATCCACTGGCCCTGAGGTTGGGGCGCAGTGGTGAGCCAGAGGAGAAGGGGGGCCGTTGAATGCACTTGAATAAAATCCAGATCTCTTCCATGGCTCTAATGCTGAAGAAGCTGCCGGGGGCCTTGTAGGGCACTGGCAGAAGGCTGGATTTTATTTGGTGGATCCTTTCCACTGATGGCCCCCATCCCTTTAGGAGCTCCAGGGTCAGAGATCGGATGTCTACAGCGACCTCAACACACAGAGGCCGTATTACAAATGAGCCCGAATCATGACAGTCAGCAACCTGATATCTGGATCCAGCCATTCCTGAAGCCTACCCAGCAACTCATTCCAACTCCTACCGCCATAAAGACCCACAGGGTGCTGTCCCCAGGAGACCAGACCTCTCCCCAGTGCTGCCCCCAAATAAACATGAAGTGCAAAAACATGATGCCAGATCCCAGGGCTGATGGGATGGGGACATGTGGGATCCTGAGGGGGTCTTGGATCCAGAAACAGTTCATGGGAGGAGGCTTCTTTGAGGAAGAATACAACGGCAGGTATTTCAATTGCTTTATTTTAACCCAAAAGTTGGGGCGGGAGGTTCCTGCGCCACCACACACCATCCAGGATGAGAGGGTCAGAAGGCAGAGGTCTGAGTTGCAGGAGGGTCAGCCCCTGCCCGGCATGTTGATGTAGACTTTGCCATCTTCTGGGGATAGGGGAGAGAAAGCATGAAGCCTGACCACCCACATATTCACTTCCTTAGGGACCCCCTGCTTCAGGGGTTTCCTCAGGGGTTCCCCCAGGCACCTCCCCCAGGGTTTCCCCAGCACCTCCTCCAGGGCTTCCCCAAGGGTCCCCTCCCTGGGACCCCCTCCCTAGGGACACCACGCACCCTCCAGGCCCCTCCCACTCCTGCCCTCACCTTGGGCGGGGCTGCGGCGTGGGCGGGCGCACAGGAACACCGCCCCAACGATGAGCAGTGATACCACCGCGTCAGCCGCCACGAGCCCTGCCAGGAGCGGCAGAGAGAGGGGCCCACATCCGGAACAGGAGCCTGGAGAGTGGGGGCCGGGACAGGGAGACAGCTCAGGTTCTGCGTTCTGGGGCTGTGTTTTGGCCACAGGGAGGAGAGGAAGTCCCCCTGAGGGGCGGGTCCCACGTTCTCTGGGGTTGCGATTGGGGAATGAAAGGGGAGACAGATGCAGAGAGCCTGGGGTGCCCCAGGACCCTTGGAGCTGTGCAGTGGGCACATGGGGTACTCCTAAAAAGAGGCTGGCGGTCACTGATTCTGGGACTCGGAGAGGGACACAGATCCTCTGATTTGGGGACAGGAGGTGAGATAGTGACCTGAGAGCCACTGGGGTGTTCTGAGAGCCTCTGGTTTCTGGGATGGAGGAGATACCTGAAGTGCTGGGATAAAAGGCAGGGAGGGATCTCTCACCTGGGGTCGTTTGAGCTGCAGCCACTGTGGAAAGAGAGAAGGGGGATGAGGGTGGAGAGAAGGTCCATGAAACAGCTGGGCACAGTGGCTCACACTTGTCATCCCAGCACTTTGGGAGGCTGAGGCAGGAAGATCGCTTGAGCCCAGGAGTTTGAGACCAGCCTGGGCAACATAGTGAGACCCTGTCTCTGCAATACAAAAATTAACTGGACGTGGTGGTTTGCGCTTGTAATCCCAGCTACTCTGGAGGCTGAGGTGGGAGGATCACCTGAGCCGTGATTGCGCCACTGCATTCCAGCCTGGACAGCAGAGTGAGACCCCATCTCAAAACAAACCAAAAAATAAGATGTAGGAAAGGAAAGGTACTGTCCTGAGAAGTGACCTCCACGCTGGAGAGATGGAACAGGGTCACATGGGCAGGGAACTCCCAGAGACACAGAGAGTGACAAGAAATTGAAAGTGGCAGCAGAGACCCGCCCATGAGAAGGGGGCACTCACAGGCAGCTCCTCTAGAACTCCCTGCCTTGGCCGGGTACGGTGGCTCACACCCGTAATCCCAGCACTTTGGGAGGCCAAGCTGGGCAGATCATGAGGTCAAGAGATTGAGACCATCCTGGCCAACACGGTGAAACCCCATCTGTACTAAAAATACAAAAATTAGCTGGGTGTGGTGGTGCACGCCTGTAGTCCAGCTACTTGGGAGGCTGAGGCAGGAGAATTGCTTGAACCAGGGTGGCAGAGGCTGCAGTGAGCCGAGATCGTGCCACTGCATGATCTGGGCAACAGAGCAAGACTCCGTCTCAAAAAAACAAAAACAGGCCGGGCGCTGTGGCTCACACCTGTAATCCCAACACTTTGGGAGGCTGAGGCAGGTGGATCACAAAGTCAGGAGTTCAAGACCAGCCTGGCCAACAAGGTGAAACCCCGGCTCTACTAAAAATACAAAAATTAGCTGGTTGTGGTGGCACACACCTATAATCTCAGCTACCTAGGAGGCTGAGGCAGGAGAATAGCTTGAACCTGGGAGGCGGAGGTTGCAGTGAGCTGAGATCACGCCATTGCACCCCAGCCTGGGTGACACAGTGAGACTCTGTCTCCAAAACAATAAAAATAAATAAATAAATAAATAAAACAAGCAAACAAAAAAACTCCCTGCCTCACCTCCTCCCGCCCCCAAGGACCTAGGCCCTGAAGCCAAATGGATCTCCCAGAAGGGAAGGGGCACAGGGAGAAGAACCCCACTTTCAGCACCCGTCCCTGTAGACGTCACCCAAGCACCCCTCTCACAAATGCTCTGCCTACTATCCCCTGTAACCACTGGCTCTACCTGGGAGCAAAAGCAGGAAGAGGATGTGACCCAGAAGGACCATGATGGGCTGGTGTCTGGCAGGGGTCTGGCAGAGGACTGTGGTCCAGAGAAGTCCCGAGGAACCGTTAGGTAGCAGAGAAGTAGCAATAGCGGATGTCACCCTGCTGGTGTCAAGACCATCTACTTCCTGTGCGTGTTGAGGGGGTGTCTCTGTTGTTGCCTTTGGTGAACTAACTCAGAGGGAGGGTCAGAGAGACCAGGGAGGCTGCTGTGCTGCTCCAAGTGGGAATGACAGGTGGCCCAGGGTGTGCTGGCTAGGGAGATCTCGAAATATTTTGAAGGTAGGGCCAACGACGTTTACTGATGAAGTGGATGTGAGTGTTTGAGAGGGATCCAGGACAGCCAAGCCTTCTGGCCCGAAACGCTGAGAAGATGAAGCGTCCATTGGCAGAGAGGAAAGGAGGGGAAGTGGGTTTGCGGGGAAAGTGCCGAGGTTTGGGCACAGGGAGTTGGAAATGCCTGATAATCTCCCTGTGGAGATGCTGAATGACCTCACTGCATTTAGTAGTTCAAGGGATAAGGCTGGTCTGGAAATGTAAATTTGGGGGTTGATGGCTTATGGATGGTATTTAAAGCTGAAAGACTGGGTGAGATCACCAAGGAAGTGAGTGCAGACAGGATCCCGCCCCCATCCCAACACACACTGAATGGGGGAAGGGGAGGAACCTTGCCAGGGAAATGGAGAAGGAGGAGGGAGTAAGGGAGGAGACCCCGGAGAACATGGCATCTTGAAAGCAGGGGAGAGGCTGCCGAGGTGGCTCACGCCTGTAATCCCAGCACTTTGGGAGGCCAAGGCGGGAGGATCACCTGAAGTCAGGAGTTCAAGCCAACATGATGTAGTGAAAACCCATCTGTACAAAAATACAAAAGTTACCCCAGCGTGGTGTCGGGCGCCTGTAATCCCAGCTACCCAGGACTGAGGCAGGTGGAGGTTGAAAAGACCTGAGATGTCGCCACTGCACTCCAGCCTGGGCCACAGAGTGAGACCTTGTCAAGAAAGAGAAAGAGAGAGAGAGAGAGAGAGAGACAGAAAGAAAGAAAGGCAAGCAGGGGAGGAATAGGGCCCACGTGGTCAGCGCTGTGAAAGGTCACCAAGTGAAACTGAGGGTGGCTTCCACTGGAATGTCAGCTCCAGGGCTGGGAATTCCTGCCTGCTTAGTTCCCAACACGCAGCCAAATGCCTCCTCTGCTGCAATCAATTATTTTAAATGATGGATGAGTAAATGAAACCAGACCTCTGAAAAGGCTCATGTAGGGGAGAGGGAGAAGTTGAGCCACACCCTCTACCCTTGCCCACAGGCCCTCCCTCTGGGAGTCTAACTCCTAGTACCCCCCTCCCTCCGGACTCAGTAATAGTCTCCCTACTCCTACCCCTACCTCCATCCCCACTCCTACCTCTACCTCCGTGGGCAGGGCCCAGGAAACAAAGCATTCAGCAACCCCTTGGACAGAGACTCAGAATCCAGGCCCCAGCCAGGTGCTATGCCTCAATCCTGTAATTCCAGCATTTTGGGAGGCCAAGGCCGGCAGGTCACCTGAGTTCAGGAGTTGGAGACCAGCCTGGCCAACATGGTGAAACCCCATCTCTAATAAAAATACAAAAATTAGCCGGCGTGGTGGTGGGCCCAGGTAACTGGGGAGGGTGAGGCAGGAGAATCGCTTGAACCGAGGAGGCGGAGGTTGCAATGAGCCCAGATAGCGCCATTGCGCTCCAGCCTGGCGACAGACTCCTCAAAAACAAAACAAAAGAAATTCCAGTCCCCGCCCCCCTGCGCCCCAGCGTCCCCCTCCTCTTGGAGCCCAGTACCCTTGGCTGCTTCAGACCAAAGATCTGGACCCCAGCTCCCTCCTTCTCCGCGGACTCTGGAGTCCGCCTCCCAAGTCCGCCCCGCCCACTCAAGGGCTGCGTTTGCCCAAGCGCGACTCGGGGACTCCCAGGTCTGTGGGCGGGCCCTGCCCAGGACTGGGTGGTGCCAGAACCCCTAGTTTAAAAACTCGCGGGTAGCTGACCCAAGATCGGGGACCCGGCGGCGGCTCCGCGGGGGAAACAGCGAGGCTGGCGCAGCGCCGAGGCCGCGGCCCTGGGGGCCCGCAATCCACGCCACGGAATCCCCGAGGTAATGGGTGCGGGTAAGGCGCGCTCGGCCTCCTAAGAAAGTGAGGGGCTGAGGATCGAAAGACTCCTGAGCTCCTGAGGGACGGAGCTGGAGCGTCAGTCCTGGGTCACGAGAGTGAGGGATGTTTGGAGGAGGAGGGGTCCCGGCCTCCTGGATTGTGACGGAGGGGCGGCTGCGATCCCGAACTTCTGGGTCCTGGGGGCGCAGGGGACTGGGGATCCAGGATCGCGGGTCCCCGAGGGTGAAAGGGCTGGGAGGCTGGACCCCTGCCTGGGTCCTTGGAGGTGCTGGGGGTTGCTGGCAGCCGAGAATCACCCTAGAAGGAAGGGCTCCCGGACTGAGTGCCGGGGGGCGTCGTTGCTTAAAATCGGTGAGGGTCTCTGTGGGGAAGGGTCCGGAGCCTGGCCGTAGGGTCTATGCTGACGGCGAACCTGCCTCTGCCCAGCCCTTGGATTTTCGGATCGCCACTCGTGCGGGGCTGAGCAGGAATTCCCCTTTCGCGGGGATTCCACTAGCGCCACGCTCGGCCGCGCGCCCCGCCTCGGAGCAGGACACCTGGGGTGAAAGAGGGGGGAAGGGGAGAATGGAAGATTCCCTTGCGCGAGCGCCTTGGCGTCAGCGCGCCGCGTCCGGGCTGTTTCCGAGCCGCCCCCTCCCGCCCCACCGCAATCCCCGCTTAACTCTTCCTCCGCCGGAACCCGGGCGCGGAAGGTTGAGGGTTTTGCCTTTCTGGGTCGTAGGAAGCAGTTTGGGACCCAGGGCTCCCAAATCCTAGAGAGGAGGGGACTGAGGGTCCAGACTCCTGGGGCCTGAAGAAGAGACTGTATGGGTGGGACTTTGTTTTTTGAATAGAGTCTAGTCGTCCCGGCTGGAGTGCAGTGGCGCGATCTTGCTCGCTGCAACCTCAACCTCCGCCTTCTGGATTCAAGTGATTCTCCTGCCTCAGCCTCCTGAGTAACTGGGATTACAAGCTCCCGCCAGCACGCCTGGCTAATTTTTATAGTTTTAGTAGAGACGGGATTTCAACATGTTGGCCAGGCTGGTGTCGAACTCCTGATCTCAGGAGATGCGTCCGCCTCGGCCTCCCAAAGTGCTGGGATTACAGGCAAGAGCCACTGAGCCAGGACCCTTGTGGGGCCTTTGTCTTCTCGACATTCCTCGGAGAGGGGTGCTGGGGACTGCTGATTTCTAGAGGTATAGATTCTAGGGCAGAAAAATGTTGGGAACCTGAATGTGCCTCTAGGTAGTGACGCCTGGCACCCGCACCCCACCAACCCGCTGGCTTCAAAACTGGGATATCTGGGGGTGGAATTTTTTTACGGAAGTCGGGTGGCTGCTGCCGAGGGGTTCCCTCCTCCCCTTTCCCCACTTTCCGCGACGCTGGTGGAAAGTTGGGTCAGAGGGAAAGTGCGAAGCAGAAGGAAGGAAACGGCGGAGGCGGACGCCCCACCCCCATCTTCTAATGGCTTTGCAGGAGTCAGGCGGCATCTACTGCCAGTTTTTCCGCGCGGGAGGGCGAGGTGGGCGCCCAAACCCACTCCCCCCCTCCCCGCCACACCCGCCGCATTTAGTTGACTTAAGGACCCTGATGACTTCCGCTCCTCCTCTCTCGCACAGTGAGTAGGGGTGAGCGCAGCCATTGTCCAACGCAGACTGTGAAGAAGCTTCTGGAAGAGCAGAGGCGCCGCCAGCAGCAGCAGCCCGACGCTGGCGGGGTGCAGGTGAGGCCAGGGAGCGACTGCTCTCAGGAGGTTCCCCCATGCCGTTCCGCAGGGACTCAGCGGCTTGCCTGCCGATGATGGGGTGGCCCTGACCTAAATGCCCTATAGGTCCGGGTCAGACCTGGAGGAACCTGCCAGATAAAGTCACCAGGGTTCCTTTTTGCTTTTGTCTCTACAGGGACAGTTTCTCCCTCCCCCAGCGCAGCCCCTGACCCCATCTGTGAATGAGGCCGTGACTGGTAAGTTCCCTCAGCTCCTAGGCCTCCCCATCCGCCTTCTCTAAGGGACTCAGACATCCCAGCTCTCAGAACTTTGGGACACCTAGGAGTCAGGCCCTCATTCTTCCCCTTTTGTTTGAGACGGGATCTCACCCTGTTGCCCTGGCACTGGAGTTGGGTGGTGCTGTCTGGCTCACTGTAGCCTCCACCTCCTGGGTTTGAGTGATCCTCCCGCCTCAGCTTCCCAAGTAGCTGGGACCACAGGTGATGCCACCTTCTCTGCTAATTTTTTAAATTTTTGTAGAAACAGGGTCTGGCTATGTCACCCAGGCTGGTAGGCCCTCATTCTTGCTGGAACTCGTAACAGTCTGATTTCCTAGGTTCTGTCGGTCCTACAGAACCCCAGGGCCCAGTCTCCAGCCTTTTGAGCGTGCTAGCAGGCCAGGTCCTGGGCTCTTGGTGGCCCAGAAATACCTTGGGAAACACCAGGCCCTCTAGACCTGGCTGTGACGTCCCCAACTCTAGTAACCAGACCTGCCCCTGCCCCTCCTCTTACACGCAGGCCACCCTCCCTTCCCAGCACACCCGGAGACTGTGAGTTCTGGAGTTAGCAGCCTGGGTCCCCCCATGGGCTTTCCAGACTGGGACCCCAACACGCATGCTGCCTACGCAGACAGTCCCTACTCTTGCCCTGCTCCTGCTGCCGAAAGTTTCCTGCCTCCTGACTTCTACCCACCCTCGGACCCAGGGCCGCCGTGCCCATTTCCCCAGGGCATGGAGGTGAGATACAGAGTGGGTACAGGATGCTGAAGGGCCCCTAAAAATTCGCAGTTGCGCTCCTGCAGTATTCTGAGGTGTCCGGAGCTCGGTTACGGTCGCCCGTTCCAGGCCGGGCGTGGTGGCGCATGCCTATAATCCCAGCGCCTGGGGAGGCCGAGGCAAGTGGGTCACTTGAGGTCAGGAGTTTGAGACCAGCCTGGCCAACATGGTGAAACTAAAAATACAAAAATTAGCTGGGTGTGGTGGCACTCGCCTGTAATCCCAGCTACTCCGGAGGCTGAGGCAGGAGAATTGCTTGAACTCGGGAGGTAGAGGTTGCAGTGAGCTGAGATCACACCACTGTACTCCAGCCTGGGTGGCGGAGTGAGCCTCTGTCTTGGAAAAAAAAAAAAATCCCCTTTTCCAGGTGGGCAAAACTGAGGACTAAAAGTCCGAGGTCACTTGGCACAGATGGGATACCCAGGGGCTCTGCATGCAGATGTGACAGTGTGGTGGATTGGGTTGGGGGAGTTCTCAGCTGACGGGCTCTCCCCACCACCTGTACCCCTCAGGACCCCCAGGACAGCCGGCTCTATGCAGGATCTTCCCTGCCACAGGCAGGGCCCTGGAGAGTTTCTGCACCCCCTTCAGGACCCCCTCAGTTCCCCGCTGTGGTCCCTGGACCATCCCTGGAGGCGGCCCGGGCTCACATGCTGGCTTTGGGGCCACAGCAGCTGCTGGCCCAGGATGAGGAGGGGGACACGTGAGTATGGGGGCGGGTTTGTCTGCAGACTCTTGGCTTGGTGGGGGCTGTTCTTATGACTGTCCCCCACCTGTCCTCAGGCTCCTGCACCTGTTGGCAGCTCGGGGGCTGCGCTGGGCGGCGTACGCTGCGGCTGAGGTGCTCCAGGTGTACCGACGTCTTGACATTCGTGAGCATAAAGGCAAGGTGAGACCTGAGGCCTGAATGATCCTGGGTTCAGGGGAGGAGGGAGCCAGGGGCCTGGACTCCTGGATCCCAGAGAAGAGAGGAATGGGGGCTGAGCTCCTGGGTCTGAGGGGAGATGGGGCTGGGAGCCTGGTTTTCCAACGGGAGGGAACCAGGGGCCCAGCCTGACCTCTCCTGTGACCTGCAGACCCCTCTCCTGGTGGCAGCTGCTGCCAACCAGCCCCTGATTGTGGAAGACCTGCTGAACCTGGGAGCAGAGCCCAACGCCACCGACCATCAGGGACGTTCAGTCTTGCACTTGGCTGCTACCTATGGGCTACCAGGAGTTCTGTTGGTATGCCCAGCTGGCAGGTGGAGGGGGTCATCTGAGGGTAGACTGGTTGCCCAGATTTTGGCTTCCAGAGCCAGGGGTCCGAAGGAGACCCTTACCCAGCACTCCAACTTCTCTTCCTCCCAGGCTGTGCTTAACTCCGGGGTCCAGGTTGACCTGGAAGCCAGAGACTTTGAGGGTAAGTTGGGTGTGGACAGGGCTGGTGTGGCTGGGCGGGGTGGATGCAGCAGATGCAGGTCCCTCACTCTCTCCATTCTGCAGGCCTCACCCCGCTCCACACGGCCATCCTGGCCCTTAACGTTGCCATGCGCCCTTCCGACCTCTGTCCCCGGGTGCTGAGCATGCAGGCCCGAGACAGGCTGAATTGTGTCCACATGTTGCTGCAAATGGGTGCTAATCACACCAGTCAGGTGAGCTGGGAGTGAGCGGTCGGTCCCTGGGAGATTGTATGGGAGGGGGCCACCTGGATGTCTGGGAGCTCCAGACGGATGCTGACTTTGCCTCTTCCTTGGGCAAGTTACTTCACTTCTCTGTGCCTTAGGAGGTTTTTTTTCTTTGTTTATTGGGTTTTTTTTTTTTTTTTTTTTTTTTTTTTTTTTTTTTTT